ACTGTGAAACAGCGGTTACTGGCTGAAGAATAGAAGCTACTGGCTCAATAGGATGGAAGATTCGAGCGAAGACAAGGCAGCAGCATTTGTTTGGAGGCAGAAATAAGAAGCAACGAAAGTTCAACGGAAAGTGTCATCGATGTGGCAAAACTGACCACATGATGAAAGATTGTCGTGTCAAGAAGACCGATGGTAACGTCAATGCAGCGGTTGGAAGCAAAGGAGTTTCGTTCATGGTGAACCAGAAGCAACCGAAGGTGCAGAACAAGTGAACCATCTTCTACGTGGACTCCGGATATAGCGACCATCTGGTTAACAGTTTAGAGTGCAAGCAGTCGGTCCTGAAACTCAAACAACCTTTCGTTATTGATGTGGCCAAAGATGGTGTGTCGATTGTTGGGAAATATGAAGGCGAAGTCAAGGGGATTTCCAAAGAAGGTATTCTGTTCCAGATGAAAAATGTAATTTTCGTACCAGAGCTGCGAGGCAACCTGCTTTCTGTCAAGAAGATGTCCCAAGCCGGGATTGACGTGTTGTTCACAAGCCGCGGCGGAAAACATCAGGCGCTGATGAAGCAAGGACCTACAGCAAATCCCTGCGCAGCGGACGTCAGCAATCTCTGGCATCGTCGTTTGGGTCACGCCAGTCAGACCACGATGAATACGTTAGTTCGAATCAATATGGTGGAATGTCTTGGCCCAAAAGTTGATTCAATTGGATTCTGTGACACATGTGTGCTTGGAAAGCAGTGCAGAGAACCCTTCAAACGGAATTTGAGAGCGAGCCAGTCGATTGCTAGAGCGGATACATTCGGATGTGTGCGGACCAATCGATTCGCCGGCTTGGGATGGATCGAGATATTTCGCCTCCTTTCTAGATGACTACAGCCATTTTAAGTGCATCTACCTGATGATGAGAAAGTCCGAAGTCTTCGTACATTTTTAAGAGTATGAAGCCATGGTAACCACCCAGTTTGAAAAACGAATTTGTAGGCTAACTGTCGACCAGGGACGTGAGAACAGAAAGCGTACTACAAACGAAAGGGAATTCAAATTCAGCCAACCGTTGCATACTCGCCTCAACAAAACGGCGTGGCTGAACGGTTCAACCGAACCCTAGTAGAAAAGGTGAGAACCATGCTTATCGACTCAAATATGCCAAAGTTCATATGTGGTCGGAGGCAGCACTTACTGGAACGTACACCTGCTGAGCACTGGACAGGTGCGAAACCTGATCTCTCCAAGCTGCGTATCTTTGGAGGTAAAGCGTTTTCGTGGGTTCCAAGCCAGCTGAGGAAGAAGTTGGACAACAAGAGTCGGGAGGCGGTCATGATTGGCTATGCTCCAAATGGCTACCGCTTATAGGACAGAAAAGCAAGAAAAGTATTCATCTCTCGTGACATCAAGTTCGATGAAGCTTCTTTACCATCCGCAAATGAAGAAGATGAAGGCTCGAAGGTTCCCTTAGTGATTCCCATGCTGTATCCGCCAGAGGGGGACAATTCGTCGGCCGGACAAGAAGCAGTAGCTGTTATCGAAAGCGAAACCGAAGATGAAGTTGATCAGGATACGCAAAGCACCGTTGATCTGGATGAAGAACCAACCAAAGAAGCTCCATCCGAAAACCCTGGGGCGCTCCCTTCACAACATAGAGGTGATGACTATTTAGAGTCTGATACTAGGGGTGAACGGGAGCGCAGGCTCCCAGGTAAGTTACTTGACTTCTTTACTGGGTTTGGAGCAACATCTGCTGGTAAAATTTCAACTCTCCCAGATCCCCCGGAATCGTACGCCGAAATCTAAGATCGAGAAGATCGCCAGCTCTGGATGACCGCAGTTAGAGACGAGTTAAAATTTCTTGAGGAGAATAACCGGAAATGCCCTGCCGGTGTCGAGCCATTGCAGTCAAAGTGGGTCTTTCGCTTGAAAGAGGATGAAGAAGAAAACCATGTGCCATGCAAGGCAAGACTGGTAGACAAAGGTTTCTTGCAGAAGGCTGGCCTGGACTACAATGAAACATATGCGCCCGTTGCGAAGTTGACGACGAGTCGAATTGTGCTGGCGTAGGCTTACAAAGGGGTTTCCAGTTCCATCAGATGGCCGTCAAGACTGCGTTCCTTCATGGTGAGCTACAACAGAGAATCTTCATGGCTGTTCCGGATGGCGTCAAGGCAGACCCTGGGCTGGTATGCCAGCTATAGAAATCGTTGTATGATCTGAAGCAGTCTCCTCGTTGTTGGAACGAAAAATTCAATCAAGCGCTGCTGAAGCTAGGTTTCACACGTTCCAAGCACGACTATTGCCTATAAACCTGTATCGACAAGAGGGAGAAAGACGTTGTTTTCATCGTGCTGTATGTCGATGATCTCCTGATAGCAGGTATGCAGCTGACCACCATAATGATGCTGAAACGCGAACTGTCGGCGATGTTTGAAATGACCGATTGTGGAGAGTTGACTCACTTTCTCGGGATGAAGATACGGTACGATCAACAAAATGGTAGAATGATGCTGTCTCAAGAAACCAGCCTGCAGAAGTTCGGTATGGGGGAGTGCAATGCAACAAGGACGCCAATGGAGAATGGATTGAAATTAAATCGTCAATTGGCCGAAGGTGTTCAAGAGCCGTACCGTGAATTATTGGGAAGCCTGATGTACGTGATGATGTCCAAAAGGCCGGACATTTGCTTTCCTATCGGATATCTGGGGAGATTCCAACTTCAACCTGTACAACAACATTGGACAGCTCTGAAACGGGTGGTACGATACTTAAAAGGATCGATGGAGTGTTGCTTGACGTTTACTCGGGGCAATCAAGCGGCGCCACTCATCGGGTTTGCTGATTCAGACTGGGCCACCGATACTGACGACCGGAAATCAGTAAGCAGATTTGTTTTCCATGTTTTCGGATGTGCTGTTGCGTGGTCAAGCAAGAAGCAAACAACAGTTGCAACTTCTTCAAGCGAAGCTGAATATGTAGCGTTGAGTGCTGCAGCATCGGAAGCAATATGGCTAGTCGGTGTTCTAGGCGATCTCGGTGAGCTGAACATTGAACCAATCACCATATACGAGGACAACCGTGGATGCATTGGTATGACCAAGAACTTGGAGAGTAAGAGAGCCAAACACATCGACATTAAACACCATTTTCTTCGTGATCATGTCGCTGCTGGTAAGCTATTGGTGGAGCCGATTGCCAGCAACAACCAGTTGGCTAACTTCTTCACTAAATCGTTGGACGTCGGACGATTTGAGGAACTTCGGACAATGCTGGGACTATCCAAGCGAGTGGGGGGGGGGGGGGGGGGTGAAATCAAAGTAGTCGTTGGATTACCTGACTTGGTCACTCCTGTTATTTTTCGCTGTCATTCCAATTCAAGAGCTCGATGTGAGCAATTCAAGTTTGCTTTAATAAAAAATTCTTTTGTTCGTTAAGTCTCGGCCTGTTCATTATTGCCCCGTCCTGTCCACGTAGTACCTTCAGATTCATACATTAGAGAGCTCAATTAGCTCAATCTAACGTAAACTTTGAATTGACTAAATATAAAATTTCCCGGGAAATCCGGGAATCCCGGGAAACGAAAATTATGTATTCGGGAATGCAAACACTAATCGCTATTGGGATCATTATAATCTGAACTGAGATCTGATGAATCACGATTGAATGGATGCGGATGGTGTTCTCCAAAGATTCCAGATAAACCAGTTCCCGCCGTCTACTTTTTTGTGTTTCAGCCATCGCGAGGTTGCATGCTTTGTTGATTATTAATGTAGTCTGGATTCGGTTGCCGTAGTATACCTTTAAGCTAGCATCATTTTCTCAAATGCCTAAATAACAGCAAAAAATTACATGTAAACACCGAACAGCACTAATCGGTGCAGCTCTGGTTTCTTGGTATTCAAATTTGATTAATTACTTCCACTGTGGGATACGTTCTCAGTTTTGTATTCTTTTTGACCACCCATTTAACTGAATGCTCTTAACTCGTTATCAGTCTCCAGGATACAAACTTCGAATAGAATTACCTCCACAACACCGCTAAGTCTCCTAGAATCTCATCACTCCGCGTCACGTATCGCAAAACGCAATTTCACGGTTGCCCGTCAAAGTTAGCATCAGTCTGACTTCTGTGTTAATAACTGCCTATTCTGTCACCTTCTACTCGCATACTTATATCAACCGCAACTTGCCCCCCACAACCCGCTGAAGCTTTTCGCTGTTCGCCATCCGTCATCCATCTATCCACGCGGGATGTCTCAATCACAGCCTGCTCAGCGAATTTCGCACTCGCTCTCGATTCCATCCCTTTCTCACACTGACTCACACTGCATCACCTCTTCCGCGGCAAATAGGAGGCTCGCTGGCTAAGCCGGGTGAAAGAAAGAAGTGCTGCACAAACAAAACTCACGACGGTCGGTCGCTTGGCTGCTGCGGATGGCGGACGAGAATGTCAGTCAATGTCAATGGCAACGACAACAACATCCAGCTAGATGCCGCGCGACCGGCGCGAAATCCAAAAATTTATCAAAACAAAACCAACCTTCCACAGCACAGCCGGTAGCACTCGAACTCATCCCGTTCAAGAGAACTCACTCTCCGGTTGCTTATGCTTGCTCTCCGCTTGTGGATTTGAATATTTTTCGAGCATGGTGCCGATATGTACGACATAATCTATGGCATCACCTGTGGCGTATACGACAAGTGGCAAGTCGCAGCAGGGGTCCACTGATGTCATTCCAACAGCTCGGAAAGAGTTGTGATTTTTTTCGATCATAATTTTTCTGTTTACCGTTGTTGCCCTTCTGCTGTTGAACTCTTCTTTTTTTTCGATTTGAAGAGCTAATAACCGAGCGCGAGCGCTCAGCTGGAGTACCACTTAGACCGTTGACCTGCATATCGTTCGAGAACTGACCACAGCACCACGTCGACGCAATCGCAATTGGGTTTCTCCCGAAACGAAAGTATTCGAATTTAACTGGAGGTTTTTGCCTGTCATTGCAGATCCAACCAACTGGGAAAGATGTTCAAACTAGCGATCGTCCTGATGGTGTTCAGTTTGGTGGAGGCCAATCGATACCGGGACGAATATCCCGGATCCTATTGCGCTTCCCGACGCTACGACAAGTGCTGTCACGACCGGCAGGATGGGTGCGCCCAACCGATCTCAAGTGAGTTGACTTAAGTAGGATGTAGTTTACTGTACGAGTTGGTGCTAAATGAGTTTCCATTCTTTTAATTTACAGCTACTCTCTGTTATTGTGATGAATTTTGTGAACGTGGAGAACATGGCGATTGCTGCCCGGACTACGAGGAAGTGTGCCTAGGGAAAGCTCCGGAAAAAAATGTTGAAGCTTGTCAACACAAAGGCCATATATTTACTCCGTTTGATAAACCCATAGTCGATAACTGCAATACATGGTGAGTTATGCAAGGCCCACAAATCACTGAATATGTCACTAAACTTTACTCTTTCCGCAGTAAGTGCACCACCGAGGGTGATAAAATCTGCACGACAGACGTATGCTTGGTAGATGATGAACTACTGAAAAAGTTGGACTATCTGGAACGTTCCATCGGATGGAAGGCGACCAACTACAGCGAATGGTGGGGTCACAAATACGATGAAGGAAAGGTTATGCGACTGGGAACGTTCTACCCGAAGATAAAGGTGAAATCTATGAGTCGACTAACCAACGGACAGGACCATCTGCCGACGCACTTCGATGCCGGCACCTACTGGCCGGGCTTCATCGGAGACGTTAGGGATCAGGGTAGGTTGAACGGACGGCTGAATCAGAATATTCATCAGTTAATCGTGAATGTCCATTGTTGCAGGTTGGTGCGGATCGTCGTGGGCCATTTCTACTGCTTCGGTTGCTTCCGATCGCTTCGCTATCCTCTCGAAGGGACGAGAACTCGTACGGCTTGCTCCTCAGCAGATCATCTCCTGCGTCCGAAGAAGCCAAGGTTGTAGTGGAGGGCATCTTGATACTGCTTGGAACTACTTCCGTAAAGTTGGGTAAGTGTCATCTGTTTTCTCGCATTTCAACTGCTGATCATTTAAACCTACTTTATTCCAGAACCGTCAACGAGGACTGCTACCCGTACATTTCCGCTCACAATGCCTGCAAGATCCGCCCATCGGACACTCTGATCACGGCCAACTGTGAACTGCCGACCAAGGTCGACCGAACCAACATGTACAAGATGGGCCCGGCCTTCAGCCTGAACAACGAAACCGACATCATGATCGAGATCAAGAAGCATGGACCCGTGCAAGGTAACCTATCCAATCCACCAACGTGCAAATCTCGTAGGAAATTGATCACCACCTTCTAACCATTGCAGCTATTATGCGCGTGCACCGCGACTTCTTCTCTTACGAAAGCGGCATCTACCGCCACTCGGCCGCCTCGACTGCAGCTGATCAACGAGCCGGCTACCACTCAGTGCGTCTGATCGGTTGGGGAGAGGAGCGCCAGGGCTACGACGTCACCAAGTACTGGGTGAGTTACTCTCTCACATCTCATGTCTAGCCAATTGCCTAACCGAAGGCGACTTCAATTCTATCTTTCGTAGATTGCCATCAACTCGTGGGGCACCTGGTGGGGCGAGAACGGCCGCTTCCGCATCCTGCGCGGTGTTAACGAGTGTGAAATCGAAAGCTACGTGCTCGCCTCCCTGCCGTACGTCCACCAGCAGGTGAAACAGATGCGACAGGTTGGTGAACTGCAGGAGATGATCGTCGGAACGGGCTACGTTCCACACCCGAGCCGGAGATACCCACCATACGGACGCCGATCTGGCTGAAAGCCGGAAAATCTGCCACGTAAATGCAGTTAAGCAATGTACAGTATTAATGTAAGGAAAGCTTGGAACCCGTGGTAAAGATCTGCACGAGCATATTTAACCTCACGGTGGCTGATGCCACCGTACGGGACGCCTAAGGCGTCCTCCAAGAAAGTCTAGACTCACGCAAAAAAAAAACATACGTTTCGAATGTATACTGCCTTTAAAGACCCTCCTCTGTTTAGACAAGATAAACTAATAAAAAAAAAGAACGAATTTAGGTACGATTTCGTTTAGGTTTCGTTTCAAAGAGCACTAGTCGACAATGCAAGAGGTAAATGGAAGTGTTCAAATTCTCAAAATTAAAAGTTTCCTTTATATTTTAGTCTGAGATAAGCGATGAAAAAAAATGAGTAAAACTTGCTTAGTTGTTAAGTCCCTAGTTACCTTTAAAATCGATAAACACATGAAAATATTTAGTGAGAAACGCTAGAGTTGTAGAGATAGCGAGAATGGAATAAACCTTGGTGCCAAATTTAATTGATCCTGATACAAGCAAAGCATTATTGGCGAAAGCAAAACAAAAAAAAAACAATCGAACGAAATTTATTGATCTAAACGACACACACACAAAATTTTTCCGTTTAAGTTAAACTAGGATAATTATTTTTTAATTTAATTTTTTTTTCAACTGTCAACTAACTAGTTGATGATATTTAACGTGGGAGGACTCCCAAAAACGATTATTTTCTGCATGTAAATCTTGAACGTTGTATCGTAAAATAATTGTTTAATAAAAATAAATGTGTTCATAAGCCAAAAAGCGTTGTTGCGTTGAAGTTGTTGTTCCGAATACCGCGATACAAGGGAAATGTTGCATCTGAAAGCTTCATGGGACGTGACAGTCGTGGGATACATGTATACTGTGAAATATTTCGTTGCTAGCTTTGGTCGATGAGGCATGTAACACGTGCTGATGCAGAGATGTCAGGTTTGCAGACATGTCTGTGAATATGGCCATTGAGAATAACTCAGAGGGACAGTCACTTTTACTCAGAGGTAAGGAGTAATGTCTAAAAATTGCAGGAACTCAACGCTGAGTAGAAGTGACTCTCGTTCTGAGCTATTCTCACTGACCATGTAGACTTTTCATTATTGTTGCAGCCATTTCCCAGAATTATTACTGTTGTCGCAGATAGATTTAGTTATAGATATTATATCTCTGCTTCTACCACAAGCGAAATGACAGCCGGAGCGGCTCGAAATTTGGTTTCATCGTATGCAATTACTGTAATAACAATCTACTGTAAACAATCAAAACAATCTATTTACCAGCGGTAGATCTGAATTTTCGTTTTTAACGGATTCCGGTGCCTTCTTGGTTCTGTTGCCTCCTACCTTGTACACTATAAGAAAAAAGTACCCAACGGCCAGTTTAAGGTCCGATTCGACTATCTGATTTCTCAGCCTGATTTTGACCGCTGCCATAGTGAAAAATCTGCTCAATTTTACTTTCGACACACTTTGTCGAACCCCACTGCTTGCACATGTCGAAAAAATTGTCAATTAAGATTTCAACACAAAATTGTATCTGTAACCAAAAGTAGATGCTTCCATAATGAATTACCGGAAAATTATTTTAAATAAAATGAGAAGGAGAAGCTGAATTTTGTGGAGTAGGAAACCATGGAGGAAATGGTTGCTCAGGAGGAACACCGGCAGGGATCTGGCTCCTCTTGTCCTTTAAGAACTACGATATTAAGACGAAAAAGGATTTCAAAACTTCGCCAGGATGTCGATACTAAATGTCGACAAGCTAGTGGGAAAAGTTCTCTATAGATCTACATGATTCCTTGAAATCTGAAAATTTCTATTGAAGTAATGAAATTGGGTTGTTAGCAGAATGCTTAAGCAAAAAAGGGTTATGTTTTAATTCCACTTAAATAATTTTGGTATCCAAGACAGATACTTATTTCGACTACAATGTGCAGTCTTCATCAGTGTCAATCCCACTAAAGACTTATCAAAAACCTAACCCCCTTAAGTACTCATCCCCTAGGTAAATCTGCAGAAAACATCTAGAAGATCAGCAAATTTCTCTAAAAATTCACCAAGTTCCTGAATTTATGCAGATTTAAGATCCTTAAATATCAAAAATTATCTCTGATGTTCACTTAATGTCTAATAATCTACGAACTTCTCGAAAATTATTTAATTTTCTCTGTAGATTATAATTATTCAATTAATATCTGCAAATATCTCTGAACATCTACGCAATTCTATTAAGTATAAAAAATATCTAGAATTTTTGACGTACACTTGTGAAAACCAAAAATGGAACATGTAACAAATTAAGAAAGATTTTGAACGTTAATAACTCAGCTGCCCCTGGTCCAATTTTAATAATTGTGTCATCAATCGATCAGAAATATAGCTACGCATCGATAACAATGCTTCTGAATGCTGATTTTCAACAATAAACTATTGAAAAACTGGTAAATGTCCAGCATTGTCCAAAAGCGTCGAATTAACTAACAAATCTGCCAATTACCTACATGCATATAAGACTGATGCAAAATTTGACTTTTTCGCTCCACAGTGCTTAAATGGTTTCAAATTGGGTCCTGATTAGCCTCCCAAATTTACAACTCATTTGGTTAGAAACAGACTTCGCACAAGCCATTTGAAGTTTGCATGTAAATTACTATGGGAAATCTCAACTTTTTGTTCATTGCCTTCTAGTCTTTTTCCATATGAAGCTGCGAAACAGTTCGATAGCCATTCTTATAAAAAAAATTCTCAGCTACAACTTTGCTCAAGATCATTTCTATGTAAAACGAGACAGAAAAAAGTTATTGATTATTTAATAGATTGATAAACTTATGACATGCTCAAGCAGCTGCTCTGTAGGCAACACTGTATTTTGCAGTGTGACATAGTAGCCATGATTTTTGTGTCCTATTCAACGCCCCAGAAACACCAATGTTGCCTGCTGAGCAGTTGATTGAGCATGATCATAAGACATCAGCGCATTGAACCATTGATAACTTTCGATCCTTGCATTTAATCAAAAAGTGATTTTGAGCAAAGTTTTAGCTGGGAAAATTTCCTACAAGTAAAGTTGAAAGCTTTTGAAGCAGACCGATATGGTGAATTATTAGATAGACATGAACAAAAATCTTGGTTTTACCATAGTAATTCCCATACAAACTTCAAATGGTTTGTGCGATCTCAGTTTCTCACGAAATGGGTTCAAATTTTGAGAGGTTAGTCAGGATCCGATTTGGAATCGTTTAAGTATTGTGGAGCGAAAATTTAAAATTTTGCATCACTCTAATGCATATGCTGCTTCCCCAGCACAGTCATCAGAGAGTAGTAAGTAGACGAAACAAGTCGAAGTGGCATTCGCCTCCGATCCTCGGACGCGTGCGAATAGGGAGGATGGAATTGCTTAATATTTAGCACACTCATCGCCATATTCAGAATCAAACGCAAATTCTTTGAGATAACCACCATCCGTCGTCTGGCTCGCCGAGGCGGTGTCTGACGTATCTCTGGTCTGATTTACGAGGTGTGCTGAAGGTGTTCCTGAAAATGAGATCCGTGATGCTGTCACCTACACTAAACACGCCAAGCGTAAGCGGCCATGGATGTCATCTACGTTTTGAAGTGACAGAGACGCACTCTGTTTGGTTTCGGAGGTTAAATCATCACCAACTTTGGCAACAAAACGGCTCTTTTCAGGGCCACCAAGCTTATTACAGTAAAGAGTAGAAATAAAATTAATCTGCCTGTTTGTCCATAAAGGGTGATACGGTCAAAATTTGGTCAAGGGAAAACGCGTGTAAATCGGTGAAATCGTTTATTTAAAAAATCAAATTAAATTTCTTTTGCAAGTTCAATTAGTATAAAATTCAGGAAAAATATTCAGTTAGGCTTCCGCTTTTCCAAATCCGAATTGCCGGGCCTTACGCTTGACCCCTGCCATCAGATTTTGTACAGCCACCTTGTCCACCTTCTTCGCCGCAGAAAGCCAGTTTGCCTTGAACTGCTGCTCGCCCTTAGCAGTTTTTTTGGTCTTCTTTAGGTTCCGCTTGACAATAGCCCAGTATTTCTCAATTGGGCGGAGCTCTGGCGTGTTGGGAGGGTTCTTGTCCTTGGGAACCACCTGCACGTTGTTGGCGGCGTACCACTCCATGGCCTTTTTACCGTAATGGCAAGATGCCAAATCCGGCCAAAACAGTACGGAACAACCGTGTTTCTTCAGGAAAGGCAGCAGACGTTTATTCAAACACTCTTTCACGTAAATTTCTTGGTTGACAGTCCCGGAAGCTATGAAAATGCTGCTTTTCAAGCCACAGGTACAGATGGCTTGCCAAACCAGATATTTCTTTGTGAACTTTGACAGTTTCATGTGCTTGAAAACATCTGCTACCTTTCCCCTTCCTTTTGCCGTATAAAACTCCTGTCCCGGAAGCTGCTTGTAGTCGGCTTTGACGTAGGTTTCGTCGTCCATTACCACGCAGTCAAACTTCGTCAGCATCGTCGTGTACAGCCTCCGGGATCGCGCTTTGGCCGTCGTATTTTGTTTATCATCGCGATTTGGAGTCACTACCTTCTTGTAAGTCGATAGTCCGGCTCGTTTTTTGGCTCGATGCACGGTTGTAGACGATACACCCAGCTTATTTGCGGCATCTCGGAGAGAGAGGTTAGGGTTTCGCTTGAAACTACCGGCAACTCTCTTTGTCGTCTCAGCGGCTTCCGGTTTTCGATTTCCCCCCGATACAGACTTCCTGGCTGTCGACAAACGTTCCCCAAACACTTTAATTACATTTGTAACGGTTGATTTGGCAACTTTTAGCGATTTTGCCAACTTTGCGTGCGAGTAGCTCGGATTTTCGCGATGCGCGAGCAAAATTTTGATACGCTGCTCTTCTTGCTTGGACGGCATTTTGACAACTGAAGAGTGAATTCCAAAATCAAAATAGGAGCAACATTCTACACACACACACACCTTCAAAATGAGGGGTGTTCAGGTTTTTTAAATGCAAAATTGAAAGAAATACGTCAAGTTGATATTGACCAAATTTTGAGCGTATCACCCTTTATTCAGAACCAACGACCACACAAAATGCTCATGTAATCAAACTGGAAGAAGGAGTACAAATTATTTTGATCCACCTTGATCAACTTTGAATCGCCACGGCCGGATATTGTCGATGGAAGAAGCAACAATCTAGCATCTGATTCGACGAAGACGGTAGGAAACATTTGTGAAGCCGAGTTATGTACGAAAGAGAGTGTCGATGAAGAGATTCGATCAACGTAGATAGGACCTATTGAAACGTGACGTGAGATTTGTTTTCCGTACTGAGCTCCAATGCTACCGACGCCAGGGAGGCAGCTCCCATACCAATCGACCCATCAACTCAACCGGGGACCAACGGCTTTACTTCCCGAAGGAAGGCGTGATCAGAGATGTTATGCCTTAGAGCATGCCGGTGGCGCCGACTGAGATTGGACCCAGGCCTGCTGGGGTG